CATCTCATTTCCCTTTGGGGTTGCTGTAGGTGATCTGGAAGTCTGGTTTTGAGACTTATTTACATGTTTTCTCATTTCGACTGTGGGGGTAGGGGGTGCTGTTGGCGCCCTTCAGGATCACCTCCTCTGAGCTGGGAGAGGTGGTACAGGGGCCAGGAGCGGCAGTAGGGATGGTCACCCAGAAGCCCCTTCCTCTTGGCCAGGAGTGGTGGGACAGAAGGTGGCCCAGAAGCCCTTTTGTCTGGGCTGGGGGCAGCGGGATGGATGGTGGCCGGGAAGCCCCTTCCTCTGGACCAGGAGCAGTAGGACGGCAGCTCAGAAGCCCCTCCCTCTGGGCCGGGAGCGGTGGGAGGGATGGTGGCTGGAAGCCCCTTCCTCTGGACTGGGAGTGGCGGGACAGAAGGTGGCCCAAAAGCCCTTTCCTCTGGACCAGGAGCAGTGGGAGGGCGGCTCAGAGGCCCCTACCTCTGGACTGGGAGTGGCGGGATCCAGTACCGTGGACTGGTGGTCTGGTGTCCTCTGCGTCTTTGCAGTGTGGAACCAGGTGGCTGTACAGAGGAGCGGGGTGGGGGCGTGTCCAGTGGATTGATGCCAGGGCACGGGCTGATTCAGCGTCTTCCGTGCGACTCGCCCATGTATGAAATTTTGATGTAATGTAATTATCATTATATTAAAAAACAGTAATGTGTCAGAAAAAAAAAAGAAAAAGGAAGCTCATAAAGTTTAGGTAAATTGGTTAATATCATGCAGATAGTATGTTATGCAGCTGGATTTGGGCCCAGTTGGTTTTACTTCAGAAGCTTGGCCAACCTACTATTCTATGGCCAGTAGAGGATATAATTAGGGGTGATAGTCCCTTTCTTTAGATACCTTATGTGTAGTTAAGTACCCAAGACATAGCCGGCATAATAAAAAGTTGACATTTTAAGGAATTTACAATGTGTCAGGGACTATTTTTAACTTTAGTACATAGTACTACTATCCTTAGTCGGTAGATGGTTTAGTAGCTTTCTTTATATGGTGGATCAGGGCTTCAAACCCAAGTAGTTTGGGCCCAGAGTGCATACTTTTATTCATTGCTGTTTTCTAAGACTGCTAGTCTGGGAGACAGATTGTTCAGAAGACATTTTAGTTAAAGTTAAGTAAGGAGTCATGCCATGTAAAGAGAATCAATGGTAAGTGCAGTTAGAGAGTAAAGGGTCAAGACAACAATAGGTGGTAAGGTAGTCACAGAAGCAGAATTTTCAGAACCACTGACAGCTTCCCTGAAATTTGCTTTTCTTGCTTTGCCTAACTTGGATGAGGCTGTTATTCTGAAACAAGGTTAATGTCTTCCACTCACTGTCTTTATTATTAATTGATCACTATTTTCTCCTTGGCTCAGCTTCTCAGAGCACATGGAGTAATTTTTAATACCCTCCAGCACTCTTGATATGTGATATCTTCAGTTGATGCGAGATTTGTTTGGAGCTTCCCTAGAGAAATATGAGGTGTGTTTGGCTGAGGGGTGGTTTGAGGGAGTGGTTGGGAAAGGAGGGAGAATCCTCAAGCCTCCTAGTTATTTGGTTTGTCCTCTATAAGTCCATTGTTCTCTAAGTAAGGGTAAAGTAAAAACTAGGGCCAAGACCTTGACTAAAAAATGTGAACAGTTAAAACGATTCAGTTGAAGAATACAGACAATGTCACACAAAGATGTTCAAGACTAATTTCCAAATGGAAGGTACAGTCAAATGAGTGAAATCACTGTAAGCTGAAGTGGACTCTGAAGGCAATTGAAAGATGTATTTGGAAAAGCAGAGATAAGGGAAGACTATTTCAGAAAAAAAGTAAAGGGCACATAAAGTTACGAAGGCGTGGAGTTATGTCTCGTGGATAATAAACAGGCTGTTTTTTCTCTCCAGGAAACTATGATATTTTAATATGTGCATGGAATAAAATTTGATTCCTATTTTCATGTATGTCTGCAAAATATCATCAGAATGAGGAAATATCAGGCTTATTTTTGAGGCATTGGGGTACTGGTGAGTATACACAAAAGCCCATGTAACTCTTCAGCCAGACAGCTCAATTAACATTGGATTTCTGTTATAATTATCAAATATCATTTGAGACATGCTGTGCAGTAACGTTTTTTTCCCCAAGCAACTAGGGAGCCCAAAGAAGTTGGATTGTCATTTACAAGAGACAAATGACAATGATCCCTTGAGATGCAATGTGCAGGAAAAAATTTTATCCTATTAAGAGATTGTGGTTGTAAAGATTCCTTCCTGTTCCAAGCTCAGACAGAGGAGGGAGACAAGGTACCATGTTAAGACACTGAGCTCTCACCCGGAGAAATCAGATCCCTGCCATTTATGAATAACAATCCTTGGGATGTTGAATCAAATTAAATGCTTTAGGAAAACAATTTTGGATATTTAAGAGAAGTAATATGGCTCACCACCTGAAGATCTGCTTTTGGTGGATGTGAAAAGCTTGAGTAATGGTGTGTAATATTCACACTTTTTCAGGAGACCACAAATTCATTCCCTTGTGTAGTAGCAAAGATACCCGGTGGATTTCTGGAGTTCTGACTACTTTTGGGGACTTGTTGGCTGATAAATGACAGGGTCTTTGATTTTAAGGAGGAAAAAGAATGTTTTAAAAAAAATTTGCCTTTACATGTATGTGATGGGAGATAAAGGTTCTAAACATTCAATTTATGCCACTGGCAATTTATGTGAGTGTGCTGGCACATGTAAATATGCAGATGTTGGTACCTACCACAGTGGCTGTTAGGGTTATATCCAGATGTCCCCCCAAAGCCTCATGTAGTGGGGCTTTAGGGAGTGACTGGATCATGGGGGCGTGATCAGTTCATAGCTAAATGGGATTTGGGAGTTGAAGCCTGGTTGGAGGAGCTGGGTCACTGGGAGTGAGGCCTGGAAGGGTCCATCTCCTTCCCTCCTCTCGATTGCTCTCTGCTTCCTTCTGCCATGCCATGAGCTCTTTTTCCTCTGCCAAGCTACCCTGGCTTGGTGCCAGACAATTATGGACTAAAATCTCTACAAACCATGAGCCAACATAAACCTCTCCTTGAACTTACGGGTGTCACGTACTGTGTCTCAGAGACAAGAAAGTAACTAAGAGAGTGGCAATTGAGGCATCCACTTTTCACCAAGGAGAAATCTCGTTTATTTCATGGTGGATGGCTGCTATTCAGGAAAGCATCAGAATGGTACAGACTAGGAAAGAATAGGAGCTTTGCCACTGAAGACCAATAGGTTCAAATCCCAACTGAACCACTTTCTAACGGTGTGAACCTGGGCAAGTTACTTAAATTCTGAGCCTCATTTTTCTCATTAGTGGCAGTGGGGCTGCTAATATTCTCTGTGAAGTGCTGTCATATATTAAATGCTCAACAAATGTCCCTCACACATTAGGAACAAAAGCTGTTATTTTGTTGCATCCTTGGTGAGGTGGACACCTCTTTGTTTTACCTTTCAATATCTCTTCCTTTCTCATCTGTTTTCACCACTTTGAGTTTCCTTTGAAAAGGCCTCACCACTTCTCTTCTCTCCATCTGTGTGGTTTAGGTCAAAAGCTTCCCTCCCAGGGGAAGTGCCTACATCTTCATCAATTAGGCTGTTCCATCTTCCTGCCCACAATGATTAATTTAGGAATGAACATAACCAATGAGATACTGTAGTACTTTTCTTGGCTTTTTTGGAGCCAGAGACTATTTCTCCAGTAGTTGTTAAAACTATATTAGATGATTCATCCAAAAGTTAAACACTGAAATATCAGATAACCCAGAACTTCTATCCCTACAGTTGAATATAGAGTTGAAAACAAAAGAACTTAAAATAAATGTTCAAACAAAACTTTGTTCATTAACCTTCACAGTAGCACTATTTGCAATAGCCCAAATGTACTCAAATAACTCAAATGGACATCATATGATGAATGGATAAACAAAATGTGATATATTCACACAGGGGAATGTTATTCAATCACGAAAAGGAATGGAGTACTAATACATGGAATAACATGGATGAACATTGGAAATATAATGCTAAATGAACAAAACCAGAGACAGGTCACACATTGCATGATTCCATTTATATTAAATATGCAGAATAGGAAAATCCATAGGGATTGAAATGGGGGTTCATGAGAAAGAGGAACCAGAAGCCATTGCTTAATGGATCTGCGGTTTTTTCCTTTTGGAGTGATGAAACCAGAGACACATGGTAAATGTCCTTGTCACAGGAGCTGAAGTTAGTTCCTCCTGCTTATTGATCTCTAGCAGGGCCAGGATGAAGTGAATGACACTGGGTTACACAAATGCGGGTTTGGATTCTGCCTTTCTTTAGAATTTTGATGTTTTGTCATGAAATCTTTTTCTGCATTAATCTAGCTTTTAAAGCTGTAGTATTAAAATTTGATTGCCTCATTTTCCACATAGGATCTCAGTCCTTCATCATCTATGCAAGTCAGGCTCCACATTAAAATTCTGCCACTTGAAATGCTCAGGTGGGTTCCTTCCTCTCCGCAGAGGCTGGTGGATGGAATGCCTCATACAGGTTTAGATTTACATGTCACTACGAGGTAGTCTCATATTCATTTTACACATGCAGAGTAATGCTCAGACACCTTTGTTAAACTGCCAGGTGTCACTGTGCTATGTCAGGCAGAAATGGATCTTGAATGTAGGCCTTTGGGACTATGGAGTCCTCACTCATAAGCATTAGACTCTGAATTTATACATATATATACATATATATATATTTTCAAAGGTCTCAACTAAGAAAAGCCATCCCTTTTGATAAAGAGGGAAGCTTTGACTACAGAGAAATGTTTTGCAAGGGTCTTTCTTTGCACTCTTTCAAATTTGAAATTTATTTGCAAAGAATGCAACCATGGGAGGATGGATGGCATTTGGATGAAACTGGGCAGGTTCCTTCCTATCTTTTCTGAGCTGATTTGTCTCAGTAAATTCTCGGGAAATATCACTTGTCTCATTTTCCTTAATCTTTTGTCTGAGTTTCAGCTGAGAATTTTTTTACCCTCCCTTTCTTTGTAAATTCTCTTGATTTTGGTTATATAACAGGACCGAGCAATTGCCTTTTCTGAACAAAAGTCTCAAATGAATAGATATCAATGGTAATACAAGTAATTAACAGTTTTTCTCTGTAGTGGATGTCTGAAACTGCTTTTATTGATTTATTTTGACTCTGTTCCATATAGTGCAAATTTTTAGCTTGCACAAACATATGCTTATCTCCTTTTGGCTCTGACCATCCTGGTTCTCTTTTTAAAGACTGTTAACTCCTCAGGACAGTTCTGACAGGGGACAGATGAAAGGGCTCTAGAGTACCTCCAATTAACTGTAACCTTGGGGATCATCAATAAGTAGGAAGGATGGAATAACTGTTAGAAATTTGTCAGGAAAATTTTCCGTGTTTCCTTTCAGATTTGATTTGACTGGAACTTGGAATCACTTGGAAATTGTGGGTGAGAAGAAGAAAGACCAATGAAGAAGGAACCATCCAGGCCAGGATAGAGGTCAAAGAGGAGAAAAGTGACAGAAAGAAAGTCACCAATTTTCCCTTGACTTTGGACAGCTCTGCTTCCCTCTGATGAAGCCCAGTTGTGCAATTTTCTTTCCCTCAATTAAAGGGAAAAAATACAGAGTACTGAAAGGCCAATTTGTCTGGATGGCTGAGTGTGTTAAGGGTTGTTTTTTCTCTTAGAATTAAGTCCCTTATTAAATTTGATGTAGAAAGTGTAGATGACATGGAAGCCAAAGAATAACTTCCCCCTCAATACATTTGAGACTCTAAGTATACTATTCCATGATTCAAATTTTCAACTTACTACTGTATTGTGAACCCCTTTCTATATCACATATGGATTATGCAATGCATTTTCTATGGCCGACTAGTATTCCACTGCGTGGATATACAAGGGGTGGTTGAAAATATGGTGAATTTTTAAAAAATGTGTTTAAATAAAAAGATTTAATACAGTAAAAGGCACATAGACATTAATCCACCTGAGAATACTCCCACTCACTTTAAGCACACTTATCCCACTGTTCTTGCCACTTTTTGATGCAGTTCTGGAAGTCCTCTTTTGCAAATTTCTTTATGAAATATAAGAAATGCAGTGAATGCTATTGCCAAGTGCCATCCAGTGGAAAGGCGGGCTCATCGAGCATTATGATGAGCCCATGCTATTCATGAGATCTGGCACTGTACAATTTCTAGCTCTTCTCTAAAGTCAAAATGACCATGAAAAGTAAATGTTTTGAATTGATTCAGGACATTGAGGCAGCCATGACAGTGCAGCTAAAGGCACAAAAAAGAACTTCCAGAACTGTTTCAGAAAGTAGCAGGAATAATGGGATAAGTGTGTTTGAAGCAAGGGGAATTATTTTGAGGGAGATTAATGGCAATGTCTTTTACTGTAATCACATTTCATATATAACATTTAACCAATCACTTAGTGTTGGATATTCATTTTGTTTCTTTTATTTCTGGGTCCCTTTTCCTTTTCCTTTTCTCCTTCCTCCCCTTTCTCTTTTTATAACCATTCTGAAATAAATACTCCTGCTCTTTTTACATAAATCTTAAGCATTGGCTGAGAAATTCTAACATGAGATTTTGGGGTCAAAGAGTGTGCTCATTTGTTAGGCTTGTGATAGATTTGCTATTCGTAGTCCGAAAAAGTTGTCCTGATGTATACAGGGAACATGGCACTTTTAGTCTCAAAAACCACCGGGTCAAACTTCCCCAAAGGGGTGATACTTGCACACGGAACTCAAGATTGGTTATGAGTAATCAAGGCAACAGACAGGGGTGGTGACGATGGTGTTGGTGGTGATGGTGAGCATTCCAAGCAGGCAAACCCACACAGGCAAAGATCTCTTGGTAGGAAGGAGAAACGAACCTTCAAAAAAGAAGGGGTGGTCATTGAAGATTGAGGATATGGAAAGAGGGAGGCATTCGGGGAGATTCTAGAAGTACAGTGCAGGAGAGGATGTGGATGGAGGAAGGATATGACCATGCAAGGGCTTGTGAGCCACACAAAAAGTTTTGGCTTTAAAGTCACTGGATAGTTTTGGTAATGTTGGAAATGGGATGACATAATCACGTTCATCGAAACCCTGTGAAGCAGAAAGGGAAGGCCTTGCTTTCTCATGTATGAAGTAAAAAGACTGAGCAAGAAAGCTTAGCCACTGCCAAGAACAGAGGTGAATATAGCAATCCCCTACTTGGGAGGCTGAGGCAGGAAGATCACAAGAATCATAAGTTTAAAGCCAGTCTGCACAGCATAGTAAGACCCTGTCTCAAAGAAAAAAACCCCCCCAAAACAATAAGGAATAAAAAGAAGAAAACTTAGTAGCTTATTAGCTTACAAAGCCCTCTCTTTTTTTTGCAATACAAATTACATTTCTTTTGGCTGTTCTAATCTACTACTTGAGTCAACACATCAACACATGCACTGATGGGGCTGGAGTAGATACTCTCAAAACTCCACTCATATTTTCCAGGCTCTCTCCTTTACACGCTGAAGATGACACGATTCAAGTATTTGCAGTTGTCCTCTTGAGGGCTTTTCTTTTCTTGTCACAGGAACAGATACCCAGTGCAAAGGACAAGCTATAAGTGCTAAGGAGTTAACATCACTGGAAGTCATCCAGTGGCAGATGGAGCTAGTGGATAGATACTGCAGCCTTGCATAAAATAATGCTGGGGTGTGTGCTCCCTCCTGCTAAGTGGAACCCAACCCAAGGCAGGGATATTCCTTCCATTGCATTGCTGCTTCTGGGCAGTTTTGCTATTCATGCTGGAAGCTTGGCAGGCACTTTGGCTCTGCAGCTGGAGGTTTTCCTGAGTATGCGGCCAACAATCTTAACCTCCATCCTCCCTCTTCCTTATGACCACAGAGCTGGTGTCAGGGGAAGGCATCTGTGGATATCGTGCAGTGCATAAATCTCACCTGGGATGCATTTCTGCTCAAGGCAGAATTAGACAGTGGGTACCTGCCAGCAATATTGTTAACACCAAGTAGGTGTCTGAACGCTTAATCAGCAGCCCCTGCCAATTCCAGGAAAATATGCCTGCTGTCTTCTCACCCCTGACATCTCTGCTACCCCATGGATTCCTGAGGATATATCAATAATTCACTCAAGAACCAATATCATCAGGCCTTGGGCATGCGCTTCAATAGTGTGGATTATGGCCTTTCTCTCCTTTCTAGGTCAGGCCTGGGGCTCTGTCTTCCCAAACTTCAGGTGGCATCAAACGAAGAATTACCTGCAGGTTGAACACTTGCTATCAATTCCCAAGGACACCAATATTGGAGATGTGAATTAAATGCTCATAATTAGAAGGTGCCTCTCTGCTAAGCTCCTTTAGGGAAAATTTCCTCCTCATTCTATCTGATATCCCCATGGAGACACGGGGGAAAATTCATATCTGGAAGCAGGCAGTTGTATCAAAAATAATGGCTTGAGGCACCAGGAAAATGTAATCAATATTTACCTGCTGAGAGGTCCCATGATGGGAAGGAAATTGACTCCTTTCCCACTGCACAGATTCCACTCTGGTGTCCTGCTTTCTTTGTGTATTTGGCAGAGGGGAAAATGCATAATCTTGGTTCTTCAGGTGGAGCGAGGGATTCATGGAATTATTACATCATCAGTCTGCATAAAATAATGTATTACTGAGGGATGAGAAGCTTAAAATATCCAAGCAGTGTTTTGATTATTTATCTGTATACATGTGTCCAAACAAATTCAGCCCGGGACATACTTTTCCTTAATCCTTGTTACCCCTTATTCAGAACAAATAACAACTGACACTTGTTTCATCATCTGTGTCATCTCCCTGGGAAAGTGTCCTGGCAGAGGGTGAACTTATGTGGGTTGATGTTTATCTGGACTATTTTAATAAAGCTAGACTTGTGAGAATAGAGAATCATCTAAAACTAAAATGCATATAACTGATGTTTTTAACCCCAGTAGAAGTATATTGGTCTAAGTTTCTGGTTGCATACAAAACAGCAGAAGGGATGCCAGAGAAACTGAGCAGAAAAGGCATCTATGGTTTAGAGAACAAGCAGGAAACAAAGAGGGCAAGAGGTGGTCAGGACTTGACCTCGGGACCAGCCTGCCTGCGATGTCTCTGCCTGTGTGGTTGCCTTGAATATTTGCATTCTGCAACTGCACTGCTAAGTAGGCCTCAGCTATGTGAGTATCTGTGAAATGGCTGTCTTTATACCTTCCATTCAGATCCCAGGTTTGGGGAGAGGTACTGGTTTGCTGAGCTTCCTTGTGGCCAGAACCCTAGCTAGCTTAGAGCTATTAGGGCCAGGTGCTCTGTCCTCCTTCCTCCTACGCGAGGGAAAGCCTTTGAAAGCTCCGATGTTTTCGCCACCCACCCATTTTCCTCCTTCCCAGCCCCCTATCTCTCTTGGGTCACTTTATTTTCTCCCATAACTCTTGCACTGTCCAACAGATAATTTATTTACCTATACTGTTTGCCTTCTGTGTGCCCTTATTAAAATTTGAATCCTATGAGTGTATAGATTTTGATTTATTGCCAAATCCATGGTTTCTAGAACATTGTCTACCTAACACAGGACTGACAATAAATATAAGGGCAGTGAATAATTAAACAAATGGGGCACGGTTTGGATGGCAGGCTGCTTCAAAGGATAAGTATACATTGAAAGAAATATCTCTCATTCTTGATCAAAGACACGATAACTTTCAGAAGCTAGCTCTTTGTTTTCAGCAAGAGAAGAGAGCAAACAACTCATGCTGCAGAGCAAAATGTAGGGCTGTGGCATTTTTTTCCCTTCTGATCCTCTTCTAGGCAACATTGCCATCTTCAGCCAGTGTCTCCTGGCCTCTGTTTATATCCGAAGTGTACCGATAAGGCCTCAGCAAGGACCCTGGAAACCTGTCAGAGTTATGGACAGGGTTAACTCTTCCTTCCTTGGAAAGGTACTGAAGGGTGAGTCTGGTTCCTCTCCTCAGCTCTTTTTAGAAATGATGTCACTTGATGCATTCAGGCAGTTTGTAGTAGAAGAAATGCAAACCTAGTTGTTTGACCTTTCCTTGCCCCTGATCACATGCTAAAAACCATCATTTACTGAGCACCTGCTTTGTACTTCCTAAGCACTCCTCATGGTCTGATCTAAACCACCAAGCAAGCTGAGGAGTAGGTACTACTATTATCCTTTGATTGCAGAAACTGAGATACACCCTAGATTTATGAGAGTGATGCCAAGGCGCTTCAGGACTTTCATTCTTTCAGCATCATGAAGGGGAACTGTTTGCAGTTCAGCCAGGCCAGACTCTTCTGAGGGCAAGAGAGGAAGGTGCCTACTTGAGAAATCCTCACTTTATTGGGCATCCATTTGCCCCGAGGAGGTTCTGTTGTGCTCTAGACTCGATGTCTGTGTCCAGTCGAATTTGTGTGTTAAGTTCTAATACCTGACCTTTGACAAAATCCAACACCCATTCATGATAAAAACCCTACAGAAAATTGGAATAGAAGGTCTTTATCTCAACCTGATTAAGGATATCTATGAAAAACCAACAGCCAACATCATACTAAATGGTCAAACACTGAAAA